TAACCCTAACCCTAACCCTAACCCTAACCCTAACCCTAACCCTAACCCTAACCCTAACCCTAACCCTAACCCTAACCCTAACCCTAACCCTAACCCTAACCCTAACCCTAACCCTAACCCTAACCCTAACCCTAACCCTAACCCTAACCCTAACCCTAACCCTAACTAACCCTAACCCTAACCCTAACCCTAAGGGGGCATGGATAGACGGTGAGTAGCGATTCAGTTGGGAACCGTCGAGAAAAACGGACGGTGAATTATGAGCATCATTTCTTTCGATTTAAAAAACCGATTGTTCGACGAATACTGCCCCACCAGAGTCAGGCCAGCAAGGCCAAATGCTTGCCCTTCTACTACAGCTTATGCAACAATCACACAGCTCTTCGTAGGGCACAAATTTGGGTGGACAGAATGTTAAACTTTGTATATCGTACAAATATGGAAATATCACACGCTCGTTACCTATTATGTACATATTCTCTCACATGTTCTATTCTTGTGTTCTTCTTTGCGATCTTCTATCTTTCCTGATTGATATTACCGCTTTAGGCACATTCTTTTGTTCCCTTTATGGAAATGCTTCCCTCGAGCTCCCTCACATATACCAGGAGCTCTCCCTTCGCATCTCCTCAGTCTTTTCCCTTATACTTGACTGAGGAGTGAGTCTGCCATGTCCCTTCATGTCCCTCATGTCCTAACGTACTTATGATGCCTCTGTAGTCATATATTAGGTACTACATGCGTAACTCAGTCTTTTCCCTTATACTTGACTGAGGATCATATATTAGGGAATTATCGCTCTTGCCTTCAGATCCAGAAGTTCATCAGGTTATGAGCCCTGAGCTCTCGTAACTCTAAACCTCGATCGACTTTGCGCGCGTCTTTGCTGGCTGCAACTTGCCGTCTAGCTTCTTTTCTTGATCGTTCCTATCCCTTCCTAGCCTTGGCTGTGTGACAGCCTGAGGTCTAGTGTGGCTCGTACCCCCATTCCTATCGACTCTACCCCTGTCCCAGCCAGGAGGTCAGGCTGACCTCTGGGCATCTCAGTTTTGGATGTTTGGGGTGTCAGTGCATAGCCCCAGAAGTACTGAGTCCAGAACTGTTCTCGCACCTCACTTTATATTGGTAGTCGTTCCGCAATTCATCATATCCTCCTAAAACGGTGAGAAGGGTCTGGAAGATTCTTCAGCCGTTAGATTCCCACAGTTAGTATGTCAAAAAATCGTGTTCTCCAAGCCGCTCCCACCGGTCATTTTTTCAAGATTTTAGAAAGTTCTCAAATTAGCCCACTCATTGTGGAAGACTTATGATACGGAGAGCGTACTGGAGGAGGTTGATACTTGGTGGTTTGGATCAGCGTGATCAATGCACGTGTCCTGTGTCCTATCCTTAGCCACTGTGCTTGCAATTGCGCTCTGTCACCAGTGCTCAAGGCATGCTCAAAGCATTCTTCCAGCACTAGTTGAGCACCATACAGTCAAGCCTGTTTGACTGATATATCATTGGTCTATCATCAGTGTAGCATTGACGTAGCACTACTCCATCACTGCCTTAGATTAGATGCAAAGCATATCATGCGAGGCCACGTGCGTCTGATCCACAGCCACACCAGTGCTGTTGTCACTAGTAGTGACTCGTGCTGAACTAGTGCTCACCAGTGATCACTAGTGACAGCAGCCCATCACTGGTGATCACCAGTGATCACTAGTGATAACTGGTGACAGGTACTTGTCATGCTGTTTTTTGCACTTTTGTCCAATAAAAACCTTCATACAAATCTTCGACATCTTGAACACGGGGGCGTCGCTCTCGTTCATACCCACTCCCGTACGTGCACATCAATCTTCTATTGCTCATATTAAGGCTATTCCTGAACCGCTTGGCATCGCTTTGGCAGATCGTTCAGGCGGTAATAGAGAAGTTTGTTCCAGGTGCGACCGTGCAAGACGTGTTCTTTGTCAGCTGCAACGCTACTGCCCCAGACTTTGCGGTCATGATCGGCGGCGGCGTCGAGTACGCGATTGAAACGTTATCCGTCCAGAGCCCGCCAAAATTTGCTATTCCAAACGATCGACCATACATCGTCAACTGGGTATCATAGTATAGTAAAATAATCATCTTCGCCATCGAGCTCCTCGTGACTATGCACCATCTAACCCGAGTGAAAGCAGGGTTAGCAGGGTTCCTGAACGACATGCGGTGAAGCATACCCAATGGGAAATGATCGCGGAAATCACAGAGACTGCCTCTCCTGAGATTCTTGACAATAATCCCGTCGTAGTCATGATAAGGAGCTCCTTATTAGGGCACATTGGGCGACATGGCAAACCCTGCCTTGGGGGAGGAACATAGCGAGGGGCAAGATCCACCTACGTGGTGGCGACCTAGGGGGTGCCTGAGGTGTCAAAGTCGGGGTGCCGCCCACCTCTTGGTTCGAGACTAGTGATATTTACGCGATGGCAAAAAATGCATTTTTATATTCGCACATGCTCTTGCTTAAACCGTGGCGAAGGTGTGATCCATCTTGGAAACGCAGGCTTGGGCCAGAGGGAGGCGATGAATGTGACTAACCCATGGGCGATAATATGTAAAGTAGGCTTAACGGCACAGTAACGGAGAGCAGTCGGTGTTGTCTATAAGCATAAAACCCAATGGCAAAGATCATCGTACTTTTCGTGTAGTGTTGTCCGAAACCGTCTGATCGCGCGCCGGAAAACATCCTACGTCGCCTACACGTACTTGGCAAACCAGGGAATCAGACTCTGCGCCATGGTATAGCTGAAGATAAGTTTGGGACCGACGACAAGGAGCTGTTGGAAGCATAGGGCCATATTAAGAGACACGAGCGCTGGAAACATACTAATGCCTTACCTTGGGAGTGAGTCCTTTGAAGAGTGCGAGCGGGCCTTCATTCTTAACGAGCTCCTTGAAGACGACCATGCCGTGCACCTTCTGCTCGAAGTTGGCGTTTTGTATCCGAGTCTTGATAACATCCAGCGGAGCAGCTGAGGCGTTCATGAGCACGGACGAGTAACATAGCGTGGAGGCGAGTGTAACGTACCGACTGTTATGCTGGCAGCAGCGCCCACGATACTCGCGACGAAGTTCTGGGTCACCGTGGCCTTGGAGTAGTCACGGACGCCCATCATGTCTTTAGCGAACGCCGATCCACCGAAAAGCTAAGCCAAATGAGTTAATTGGATGCCACGCGGCTAGACTGCGTGAAGGGAGACGTACGGCAAAGCTTCCCGGGGCGTTACGTGCCATCGTCCAGCCCCAGCCGCGGTAAAGGGTTGTGCCCTCCTCGGCAAAGATCCGAAGAACGCCGCGTCCTCGGAAGGCTTCGGGATTCACCTGACGCTTGATTTTGAGCGCGTCAAGAGGGAGAAGAACGACTTCTCCAATGCCGGTCAAACTGAACAGTCGATTTAGCCCCTCGTGTGCGGTAAGAGACACTCGCCGCAGCTCACCTTCCAGCAAGAGCTTGAACCATCATCTTGCCCTTCCGTTCGCCGAACGTGTTCGTGAAGGAAGTTTTGTAGACAGAGAGGAGGTCCGAGAAATAAGGCTGCCCTCCGAACTTGTATATCTGTCGCAAGCTTCAGGGAGCGTGTTTCGAAGATGGCGCAGAACGACGGACGTACCCGTTGGGCAACCTTGTATCCGGCAGCATATCCGAGTCCGGGGAAGAGGGATAAGAAGCGAGTGCCGAGAGGGGCGGAGGCTTTTTCGCGGAATATGACTTGACGCAACTTGCCGCTGCCAACCTGTATGACGAGGTGGTCAGAAGATGAAAACCGAGAATGGAAGACGAACATAGTCTAGCAAACGCGTACCTTTTCCTTGTTGCTCATTAACCGTTTCGCCACGGTATCCACTGGGTGGAAGAGCAGGAGCTCAAGAATACCGGACGTGCCCGAGCCTAGAATGCGAGCAGCGCCGGATTCCTTGCCACGAGTCGGAAGGGAGCCAGCAGGAGACATGAATGCAAGACGGTGCAGGAAACACGGATAGATGAGGTCGGTATTATATGTCTTGTACTGCCAGGTGCAGGCTGTAAGGTATAGCTGGTTAGGAGTCGCGTAGCAGCGAGCTGTAATTATTCCTCGGCAGCAACGACAAGCGCCAGCGGATAAGGCAGTGGTGAGCGGGAACGGCTCGGGCGGACGAGACGGCCGTTTGCGCGGTCGGTGCCGCGTTCAAAAAGTCAGAAATCGGAGGAATGCGCACGTGGCGCTGGTCACGGGATGCGGATCTCCGGATGCGCGCTTTGACTCGAGCGTCCAAGATGCAGCCTCCGCGACTCGCAAGTCGTCTTCCGCTTCATCGCATCGTCCCAGTATTGGCCGGCGGCAAGATCGCGCATAGGATTGTCGTCAACGTCAACTGCTGTCTAGATCTTTATTGCTGCACCACATTCGTGTCCTGTCATCCGCCGAGCAACAATATCCTCAAAACGGACTGCAGCTGATTCGCGAACAATGTCGACCAGTGGCAGTTGGAGCCCAGACTCCTGGCGCACAAAGACAGTAGCTCAGCCTGTCCGGTACCCTGATCAGGGGCATCTCGATCAGTCCGTTTTATCCGTTCTCTTTCCAAAATCGGCGTTGACAGCGTCTTAGAGTCCTTGGGACCATCAAGACACTTCCTCCTCTTGTAACGCCTTCTGAGGCATGCGATTCCTCAATAAATTCGGGTCCTGTTTTATCCTAACGTGGAGTCACGCAGATCGAGCGTCTTCGTCACCAGCTATCCGCAGTTCAGCGGGGAGATGCTTTTCTTCTGCACGCCGGTGACTGCGCGGAGAGTTTCGACGCTTGCACTCACGTATGTCTCTCTCTTCAATAGTGTTTGTTTCCCCCTCCTGATACTATTGCGCGACGCGAAGGAAAACATATCCGCGAAGATTGGTCTTATTCTCTCGTTCTCGCTCATTCTGATTTGGGGCCAACGCCTGCCAGTCGTGAGTGCTCATTTCTCATGCTATCGCATCAACTTCGCTAACATGCCATGCGGTAGGTAAGAATTGGCAGAATCGCCGGGCAGTATGCGAAGCCGCGCTCCAGCAGCTATGAAAAGATCGGCGAAAAACAAGTTCTCAGCTTCAGGCAAGTCTACATGGCACCTCAATGCGATGAGCGTATGCGTATATAAACCGTTATATGGGTGCAGGGGCGACAATGTGAATGGGTATGCGCCCGTTGTTTGCCCCCTATTTAGCCCGGCCAGTTCATAATTATCATCTCAGGTTGGACCCTAACGACCGCACACCGGACCCGGAGCGGCTACTCCGGTGAGGCACTTTGAGACTGGATCACGCTTATTATCCGTTGTCACTAACGAAGCGTGTCAGAGCTTACTTCTACTCGTCGACCACCCTTAACTACGTGCGCGCCTTACTTGGTTCTGGCTTCGCATCTCTCCATCACCCCCGTGGTTGGTCATTGGATCACGTCCGAAGCTCTTCCCTCAGGTGCGCGTTTTTCTTTGACTGGATACTTATTCATCGAAAGTAACGTGGTCTTGCAAGGGAGGAGTTCAAGAAGGTTACAGAGGGCCTTCAAGACGCCCTCGACTTCAGTCAAACCATTGGTTACTCGGCAGGCCGCGAGGAATCCAGCTACGAAAAGGGCGGAGTACGCGGCGTTCTCGGGGAAGTCGACTTTTATACCAGGTCCGTGTCTTGTGATGCATGGTCTCGCCTGCGACTCATCATACAATAGTCACGAAGGCTTGATGCTCGACTACGAGCAAGCCCTCACCCGCGAATCCCCCCTTCCTGGCAAGTCGCAAACCATCATTTCAGCCTCCGGTCTCTCGACCCCACGCGGCGCCCACTCGCAATCTCCCCCATCCATCACTCCGAACGGATTGACAGTCCGCGGCGGCACGGACACAGCCTGGTACAACACCTCAGCCCACTTCCTGTGGATTGGCGACCGCACCAGGCAGCTAGACGGCGCGCATGTAGAATACTTCCGAGGTATACGCAATCCGATCGGTGTCAAGGTTGGCCCCAGCATGCAAGATGATGAACTGATAACATTGTTGGACGGTATGCACAACACGTTTCCCGACGGTCCGCAACCTCTAATACGCTTTCTCCTGCACAGTGATCAATCCTGACAAGGAAACGGGCCGAATTACATTGATCACCCGATACGGCGCTGGAAAGGTTAGACAGAGCGCGTACCGCACCTCACGGCCTATTCATTCAACCTCCAGATTGAGAACCATCTTTCTGGCCATATCGCCGCGGTCCAGTCTTCTGGTCATCCCGTAGCGTGGATCTGTGACCCTATGCATGGCAAGTAAGTGCATGCCGACTGCTGGTCACTTCAGCGCTCACGGCTCACCAGCACACTCACCGCGTCCACCGGGGTGAAAACGCGGCATTTCAAGACAATCGTATCCGAGTTAACGTCGTGCATTCGCATACACGCCGAATGCGGATCCAGATTGAACGGCGTAAGCTTGGAGTTCACTGGCGAAATCAACGAAGAAGGGTTCAGCGTCACTGAATGCCTTGGCGGGAGCATGGAACTGAGTGAGGAAGAGCTTGGTTTGAGATATCAGGTATCGTCTCAACCTCAGCACACGATACTACATACAAACTCACCGGTTCTTTTGTGCAGTCGTTCTGCGATCCGAGACTGAATTTTGAGCAGTCTCTGGGTGAGGGCATTCATAGTTGCAGGAAGAAGCACAGTCTCACCACGGACATAGATGTTGCATTCCTTCTCTCCGAGCATTTCAAGAAAGAACGACGTTACAACCCACGGGTCGGGGAGAAAGGAATCTATTCCGAGCTGCTTGGAAAGCAGGCATCATGAAAGATCTCATCGATGAATAACAATATGATACAAAGCATATCGTATATGACATATTTCTAATGCACAACAAGGTTGCAATGAGTGATAGCGCGTTGAGATGTAAAATGTACAGTAATCAGAGCCAGGACTGCCACGCGACAGTGCATGAAGTTAAGAGAGGTCGAATCCCGCGTTCGCATTGATCGCCTGCAGCAATTTTACTCTTAGTATCGCCTCCGTCTTGTACCGAGGTAGCTGTAACGGTATAATGAACATCAGAACTTCGGCACAGTAGTGAATATTCCTTGCCTTCAACAAATTAACGCATGTGCTCGCAGTGGGCAAACGCGCCTCATCGCCCCCCGCATCACGTATCGCGAAATTAGGCCGTAGCTCCTTGAATCCACTGAGCGAATATATCAGTACTTTCTCGGGCATCGGAAAGGTGGGCATTACAGTAACGGCGGACGACTGCAGCTCGTAACGAAACGAAGTAGGTCTCGGCGTTGATTGTGATCCAACGAGTGAACGACCTACGGCAGTCGGCATGAGTAAGACTCCATGGAGCATGACAACCGCCCCAATTGACCTTCCAAAACAGTTGGATGGTCTCGTGTCCGGCATCGTAGAGACCGCCGTAAACGGTATGGTTCCGGAGATCGTCTATGTCTATCGGAGAGTTGACGCCGCTGATGAGGATCTGCACTTCTTGTTGATTGAACATTCTGACGAGGCGACGGTTTGTGAGAGCGTGAAGATCTTGAATGTACACGCCGTGGACAAACCTCAGCCATTTCGGATCGATCATCTCCGACAGTCCTTCGAAGAACGCTTCTGATTGCCGCTTGATCTGTCTGTTGAGGCGGTAGTTGGAGACCAGGTATATGTACTGCAGCTTATTTTCGCGAGTGACCGGCACATTGGAACCGTTCGGGATCAGGTCCAACGTTTTCATGACACCAAACTCTGCGCGGGCTCGTGAGTACAAGATTGCTGTGCGGAAGACAGACGAACCTTCAACGGCCACTGTGAAATTCAAGGACAGCTCTTCGGGGTTCTCGGTGGAGTTCTTGAGAAAGATCAAGCCATTATACAGTTCGGGATCAAGCGATGCAAGATCGTCCAAGAAGCTTTGCTTTCCTAACCACTGAAAAATGGATAGTGGATCGTCAGCGAGTGTGCAACGTGTTCAATTCGACAAGCACCTTGGCAAGGAAGAACGGCGCAAAGGCAACATCTACAAGGATCCCATCGTACATTGCTTTCCCCAGAATTCGGCCGATGAATCGGTACCAATTGAGACTGTGAGCTACGAAGAGAGCAGTTCTTGAGCATGAGCGCGAGATCGATGTAACCCAGATCACTCACATTCCGTAGCGTAAGAGTGTGGATTTGGATACAGTTCATTGTCCTTGTTAACGAGCCAAAGGCCGCGGTCGGTATCAAAAACCTCTTTGCAAAGTGACGTGAAGAACTCCTTGAAGACGCCGCCGCCATCGATACCGGCCCTGGAAGTTGTGTGAGCAGAGAACACGCACGAAACAGCATATACACACTCTTCTTGACCGAATTGGTCGATAAAAGTAATCTCAATCGGTAGCTTGAGGTCGGCGTCATAGAGCCTATCGAACCCATCTTTCGCCACTTGCCCTCGCCGAACAACAGCGCGCTGGCGCCCACTCCTGCTGATTTCCACTCTACGTTGTCCTGACTGCGGAGCCGGCACCGTCGTCGGCGTGTGGAAACCTTCCTCGTCTTCGTCATCGCTTCCAGCGCCCGACAAGACATCGCGAGCTAGCCTCTGTTGGATTCTAACGTGCTCCCACCCGTCATGTGTCGACGCACGTGCCCTCGAGTTGTACTCTCGCATGTCCTGGAGGACGAAGTTCCGGAAAATCGAGACACGAGTATCGAACGGGATGGCAAATGGTATGTTGTTCAGTATGCCAAGCCTAGGGAACAACATGGTAGCTTTCCGAAGGTTTTGAGCGGCCAACCGGGCATTGCGAGTGCGGGGATTAGAGAAACGAGAAGAACGCTCCAATTCTGCAGACGTCTCGGAGTCTAGGTTCTGGACGTCGAGAAGGGCAGCTTCGACAAAGGACCGGACATCCTGGTCCGGTATGATGATCCAGTGACCAGGGGGAGTAAATTGGCGGCGCGAGCTAGCAATGTGTTAGCCTTGCGTCTGTTACGTTCGAGGAGCCAGCTCACTCTTTCGCGTGAATCGCCACAAGACACCGCGTCACGGAGTCGCGTATCTGCTCCCAACTCAGACCAGCTCTCCCCCTAGAGCGGCCGCTCTCTTCGGCAAGATGGAAGGCGTCTTGCCTCCAGTAGAGGTGGAACGCGATAATCAACAGCTGGCGGGACCATCCCGTCAACTCATCCAGCGTCAACGGATTTCCTGCGCCAGCAGCCCTCGATACTCCTGTGTTTGCTCGAGCGCTCGCAAAAAACTCGTCGTCACCCATAGTCAGGAGGGCCCGCTGGTACACCTCCACGAGCAGGAGCAGCGGCACCCATTCACCTGCGGTATTGTCATCGAGCAAGGCGTCCTCTTGTCCGTCCTTGCCTAAAGAGCTCATTCTGACGTAGCCTCTGTACAGTTCACGTATCAGGCCGCCTTGCGCATGAGCCATTAAGCAGCTGGCTATCTTGTCCCGTTCCCCGACGAAGGTGTTGAAGAGACCCAAGAATACCGAAAACATGTGTTGGCGTGAGCCCGCTGACGAAGCAGCAGGTGCGCTCAGCAACGAAGTGATATGAGCGGGAGACGCGAGGGTGGAGAGACGGGCGACGGTCTTGCCGTCCAACTCGGGGAGAATAGAACGAGGTGGGCGCGCCGGAGTAAACGAAGAAACGGCCTCGACCCGAATAGCTTCGTCTTCAGAGTCTGAGCTCTCGTTCTCGTTGAACGGTCGGGAACGATCACCCGCGGATGAAGGAACTCTGGCAGATAGGCTACCGGGAGGTACGCCAGAAAGGAGAGTAGCAAGGAGCGCCAGATATGCCTGAAAAGCGGGTGGACTGATCTTGGCATACCGAGGCGGAGTGAATGTTTGGAGATTCGCCAGCAAGTGCGCGCGTGGTTCGAAAGGTAGGCTTTGCACCGAGGAGTCGCCCGCGGGGTTCACAGCATGAAGGGCAGAGAATGGGAGACGAGCGGAAAATACAGTGAGGCTTGCGATAGGAAGTCTATTTGGTAAGAGCGGGATTGTGAGGATGCGCATGATCAGGTCCAACGTAGCACGGGAATGCTCCGCAGTGCCGATAGCGAAGGACGAAAATGGCGCGGTCGCCAACGAGACCAACGACGGAAGAGATGGCGTGTTCTTGGCCTGGAGGGGCTAGTTAAAGACATGGCATGAGCGAACTATGCCGACGCGCGTGTATAGATGTTCTATACGTACGATATTGCTGATTGCTCGTCCCAAAAGCTCATATAATCCGCGTTGCAGAACGTAGGCGATGACATTCTGACAGAATTCCCTCCCCTGGTCTCCCAGAACGCGCGAGCATGCCTCGGGAGAAACCAACGCGTTGATGACTTTGATCTTATCAAGCGCTGACGCCGACCTACTCATGGCCATGAGCACCCCGATCAGTGTGACGCGCGATGACATGTACCTGGGTGAGGCCGCGACGGATCGCAGTAGTAAAACAGTTGCACGGCGTAGTAGCACTGCCCAGTGCTCTCGCTCACTCTTCCGCAACGGTTCCAAAATAGCCGCTGGTGAACGTCAGTATCATGCGCTCGTGCTATGGCTGGAGAATGCACCTTCATCTGGGAGGGAAGCCGCCCAGGCATCGAGCGTCTCGTCGTCGCCGAGAAGGACAGTGATCCGTAGATTTCTTAATGATCTTGCATCTCGTTCAGCCTGCGGAAGATCATCTACGTTCATCATACGCCCTACATCCAGTTCTCCCTTCAGATCTTTGCATATCGCTTCCCTCGTGCTAACACCACGCCATAGACTCTGCACCTTCACCGCCGCATCCGTCCGCCGTTTGTGTGCTTCGCGTTCGAGCCTACGAGCCTTGGCCTGGTCGATGATAGACGTATGGGAGGTGGCTGACGAGGTGCCTCCAAGGTTGATCCTTCGTCGTTTATCATCGCCGGCACCGAAGAATGTGTTCATTGAGAGATTATGGGATGCGCCAGTGCAGTAGTGTTGAAGGAAAGACGCGGAACGCGTAAGGCAGCGGTGACCAAGCGCGACCTGCCTGACGTAAGTGCCGGTTAGCCAGTAAGTATGCCTTCGGTGGATTAATGAATGTGTGGGAACAATGGGAAATTAAGAGGCAAATCGTTTTCCTTTCCCCTCCGCCGTTACTTCCATTCAACTCATACTAGAGGCCGATCCCTTACATCACAACGCCACGACGCTATCTTATACCCCTTCGGCGCCGTTCCCGGTTTGCTCTGCAACCAAGTTACCATACGCCTGGAATAAGCCTGTACGGCACCCGTTTCCTCCACTCGGCCCATTGCTTGCTGTATCGTTCCTTCATCATCTCATCTTCCTTCACGGTCCGCAGCGGGAATATCACCATTGACGGAACCCAGATGCCCGCCCACAAAGCTGTCGCCGCCAGTCCCGGCCACGACCACCCCACGCCACACTTCCTGATCCACGACCCTTCCCCGAATGCGCAGACCGTGATCGCGATGACGTTTCCGAGCAGGCCCGTGTAGCTGGGGTGCCTCACCCACGAGTACGGGCCAGAGGTGACCAGCGTATGGTCCTCCGGGACGGTGAGCTCGAACGTGAAGTGCTTTCCGAGCACGCGGAACGCCCAAACTCTGAACGCGCAGCTCGCTACGGCAGCAAGCCAAGCGCCGTAGAATCCTGCATCCAGGTAGACGGGAGACGCCTCCGATGGCACGGGGCAGATTGTGTGGAAGATGTAGGATGCCGTCTCCGACGTTGGATGGTCTCTCGTCCAAAGCGCTAGGCACTGGCCGACGCTGTATACGGCTACGGCAAGCTGTTCGAGGAGGTTGAGACGTCAGGATGCCTGCTTGTACTGTGTCCGCTGCTCACGATAGAGCCGGGGGTGAGGAATTTTCGGGAGAACGGCGAGCCGATCGTCTTCGACACGTCCTCCTTCCTCTCATGTTCAGGAGCCGGAGGATTTGGCGAAACTACTGCGCGCGCATAAGAGAAGGGGAGACTGGCCAGCATAGGGGCGGCGATCCATATCGGCAGCATGATGATGTGCGTATATAAGAGCGAAGAGCACGCATTCAACGACGATGAAATGCGTTGTCTGTGTTGTAGCACGTCCAGTTGAGAGCGAGAGCAGAGGAAAACAACTGGGTTGATACCGGGGCTCCCTGGCCTTAAGATCAATACCCCATATTACCCGTTCGGCTAATGCGATCTGGATCGAGCGAATTCCAGCCTTCTTGGCGGCAGCTCGGTGGTTCCTTGATGAAGGAGTGACGGCTTGTTACCCGCGAATGTACAAGCTGCGGCAGCGATCGGCTATGTCAAAATCTATCATGCGCATTACAACGAAGCTTTTCCTCGCGGTTCAAATGGCAGCATTAGCGCCACGAGGCCCGATACCAGGAACAACGCGCCGGAAATAAAGATGGGTACAGAGCTTGTAAGATCCGCATACAGTGCGATAATCGGCGCCTTTGAAGTGTGTCAGGCTAAGTAATCTGAGACAGAAATATGCTGAGAATATGTCTCACCATCACTCCGAAGATTCTGTTCGCGGTCGCGACAAGCGCGTTCCCTGTACCACGGTCTTTCGTAGGGAACAACTCGGGGGAAAGTGCATACAGCACTGGCAGTGGTCGTTTATCAGGATCAGGATGGCTGTCTTTCTGGTTGACAGATGCTTACCGCCATACATCACATTGCTCGTGAAGCTGTAGCCACAGTTCCAGCCCAGCAACGCGTTGGATGTTCGAGCAGTGGTGGACCCGAACAGGAACACACCAGTGAGCACTTGTCCGCAACTCAGAGACATGCATTTGAAATGAGGTGGGAAAGGAACACACCTGTTGATATTGACAGCGTGCCGCGACGGCCAAGGTAAGGAAGCTCAACCATCCAGCCCGCCAACAAAGCGCCTGGAACGCCGATGACGCTCAGGATTACTTGCTAACATCGCGTGTCAGGTGACGCGAGCGACCGGAAAGGATCAAGTACAACGTACGTTGCGGTAGGTGATGTACAGTGACCCGTCGCCGAAGTCAGTCCCACGGGTGGCGAGGCTGATGAACCGGAGGTCATGGTCATCAGTAGCACGACGCAGTGCAGGAAAGACTGACTAGTAAGTGACGAATGAGTTGTACAATGGGAACGCTAGCCCTATGAGCGCTGTTAAAGTTGACAAACGTGAGCGCCGGCGGAACGATTGACTGCGTGCGAACACGTACCCCATATGATGATCAGCAGCGACGTTGACCAAGCAAGCTTGCGGGTCGCAAATAAAGCCCTCACATGGTCACCGCTGACCACCTTTAGTTTTCTAAACACCGCGGCACGAGCGCTCGTATCCATTGGGAGGACAGATGCTTCGCCATCGTAACCCAAGCCCCCTGCGGCGCTGAGCTGCTCCACCGTCAACGTGGTTTGTTTCCTGTTATAGGCGGCGACCTTCCGGACGACTTCGACCGCATCGGCGTCCCGGCCCCGGCCCATGAGATACTTTGGGCTTTCGTAGAGCTTGAAAACGAAGAAGCGGATCACCCAAAGGAAAAGCATGAGGCCGCCCATAGTAAACAGGAAATAACGCCATCCCCAGTTTTGCGAGCGAGGGCACTCTCCCGGCTTGGTCGACTGAGGGCAACAATAGTTCGCGATGAGCGGCCATGCTACCTAGACATATCATATCACGACCGGATACATAACCCAGCAACAAGTGAGGGACTCACGAGGCTACCGATGAGCTGACCAAAAGCCCACCAGATCGAGAGCACGGTCAACAAGTACTGGTGAGACGCCGGGACGAACTCTATAGTTGATAAGTTGCGGACTGTAGAATGACGACAGTGAAGACGCGTACCGAGAAAAACGGCGGAATCCACGGGGAGATTGCCGCCCACTCCAACGGACCAAAGGGCCGAGAACACGCAAAGAGCGATGTAAGTAGGAGATCCGCCAGCGGCTAAGATGAAGGTTGACAAAGGTTGGATAAGCACGTGCTTCTCGGACAACTGGAGAGGATCACCTGTTGCGAAGACGCCGATGATGAAGAGGGTAATGTTGAAGGACGGGCTATGGGCGCGCTTTCAGAGATGCGCTGTACTACCGAAGAGAAACTGACCGCCGTCCCCAAACATCCGATCCAATACCCCAGAATGCGGCGCCCACCAGAAGACCAATATTTTGGGCAAGCTTGAGGAAGGGCCCTTGGAAGTTGAACTCCGCGACAACCGGAGTAAGGATCAACCCAGTAACGATCTACCAAAACCTTATCGAAACTATCACCTAGGACACGCGCATCTGAACGCACTGGCCATAGATTGTCGCTGAGGAGGAGGAGCGATGTTGTCTCATTCTGGGTAGCTTCGAGCTAAAAGGCGAACTCACGCAAACCAGCCAAAGCCTGCGACTATAAACAGGTACCACTGCGGTCCGGCTTCAGAATCAGTACGAGCCATGAATCAACAAAGCTACCTGATAACGACCCATGCCAATGTCTTGCAAGGCATCGTTCAGTATTCGAGCCTTGGCTTGATACACCGGGTCCAGGGCATCCTCGGAGTACACGTTTTCGGTCTCCACCTCTACTCCATACTCTTCTTGGTGTTTTTTCGTGTTGTACCGGGTGTCGGCGTCGGTGGACATGATGGGGTGAGAGTACAGGAGGTCAACGTAAGGATGTCGTTGTTGCGGGTTACCTCCAATCAATCTGACCGCGTCCTCAATGATCCACCTCCGTTATGAACGCGCTTCGAACATGCTGCTCGACCACGTGGAGGAGACCATACTGAGTATCTGGCCGGTCAAAAAAGACGTTCGCGGAGATGCCGCAGATATCATCTGCTGATGGCGCACCACAGACGATGACGAGCTCGACGGGATCGAAGGCGTCAACCACATCGAAACGGTAATGTGATGTACTCGATATCGATTGGCTGGTAAGTTTATTTCTTTTGTCCGTATGGAAGCATGCTTCATTATTATTGGGACGAAACTGGCTTTCATGCGAACGAATCGTCGGCGGTGCTGCTCTGAGGTCGAGGTCGCCCTTCGAGACAGACGCGTGGGAAACAATGATATTCCGATGGTCATCTCGAGAACTCAAAGCACCAGGTCATGCCAATGCGCAAATACACGACGCTTCAAGCTCAGGGCTCGTTCTTCAAGGCTCTCATATGCCAAATTTGCCTGTGGCGATTACCGCGGCTCGTCAGGTTGAACGATGAAAGGCGTCTACCTATTTCAAGGCGTTATTAATGACTGAAGCTTCTAGTGGCAACACCGACTGGACCAGAACGCGCCTAAGCGCGTGTGCGCTGGAGCCAGCTATAACTTACCGCACGGTCGAACGCATCTCCGCGGGCTTGCCTTGCATTCCGGATCTCACCTCGTCGAATGACGCCCAAGCCCTGTGTTTGCAAGCATGACAACGTAGCACGGCTGGATCAAGGACCTCATGATGCCATCGAGTTCTAGCCGACTTGCCTGGTGGCGAGCTGCAGCGCAAGGATGAACTGTCTGGGGAACTCCGAGCATTAGCTAGCTGTGGAAGAAGCACCTGACAGTGGCTACTCTTACTCCCGCGACTTGGATCAGTTGGCGCAGGTCGGAATAGCTGACATTGTTTTCAGCAGTTCTTTCCGGTATCGATCCTCGGTCAGGGATGTTCCGAGGCCAGTGTAGAGTTGCGGGATGACGAAGACCCGGCCAACCGGCTTCGGTCTCGGCAGAAACAACGGAAGACGCGTGCGAGATCGTGAAACTGGCTCCGCGAGAGTGAAAGAGCGTATGGTGTGGATGGAGGCAGAAGATAGCATCTAGGGTGAGATCTCCCTCTATCAGCCGACGAGCCGCATGTAAAGGACATGGGATCGCACGAGGGCCGCCGGGAGTGACGCTTTGTAAGAAGGAAGGGATGAATACGAGAAGTGCAATCGTATGACCGTACTTGGGCGGAGCTTGAGATCGCCACCGTCACCAGCTGGACGGGGTCCTGGAAGCGCGCCATAGAAAAAGCCAATGTCCTGCGCGTTTGCATCAAGGAGATGAGACGACCAACGCCCCCTTGGTCGCAGCAGCTGCTGGAAGCCATTAGAGCGGAGTTATTGATGGAAACCGGTAAGGTAAAGGGAGCGATGTTTGAATTATGATGGGCCTGAACCATCGCATTTGAGAAACCTGCGCCGTTGTGCAGCGCCCGGATGCGCTGTCACATAGGTACCGCCATGTCGGACATCGTCGCGCCGCACCGCGGTCGGCGGAGGGCGCATGAAGTCGCCGGGTCGGACAGTCCGGTGAGCACGCGCCGAAGGTTAGAGGTGCTTGGGCTCGTTCGCGTCCTGGCGACGGTCGGTGACGGGAACTGGCTGGTGCAAGCGCAGACGATCATGCAAGGCAAGGCGATCAAGTAAATGAAAAGGCCGCGAAAGGGTCGTGTCGGTGACGCCCGCGCACCCGGTCCCACGGTCGGATCATGCCCCTCCTGTCGCGCGGTCTATTCCGGAGGTCGAATAAGCTTTCGCGTCCTGCGTCTATCTGGATGCTATTCCGACGCCGTGTGCCCGCTTTGGTCCCGGCATGATATCCCATACGAAATCCATCTTCTCCGCGGGCCCTGCCATCGCTTCAACACGCGTCCCGCAACCCGCGGTTCCTCCACCTTCTCATATGTCGGCCGGAATCATGTCTGGACTCCGCGGGCGGCGTCCCCAGTGATGAGAACTACTCAGTCGAACATCAGGGCCCACTTTCCCATGTCCGAGGACATAGAGCTGCCTCGTTGCTCTGTTCCACGACACACCCCGCTGGCTGTACCGTATCAATTGTAAGAGCTAGGACTCTGGCTCTTCCCGTACTTGCGACGTTCCGAAAATGGCGACGTAGAACATTCGGCGCGTGGGTGTCAACCAGGCTGCCAAGCTGCTCAATACGACATCCGTTTCGGAAATGGCGCCCTGGTGGACCGAAGCGCTCGTTCTCTTCCTCGGATGTTACCCAACTGCGGATCAGGGCTACCACCTTTAAGGATCTTCGTCAGGCAACAAATCAACGGAGCACCGTATCCCCCACTCCTTCTCCCCCTCGTCCCCTTCCTCGCTACCAACGATGTCCCTCCCCAAGGCCGCCCTTGTCTTGCTTCAGGCTATCATCAACCAGCTGGCAACCACCCCACCCCACCCCGTCCCGCCAACCGCGTCTCGGACGCCCACCCCCCTCGGCTCGCCGCAACTAGCGTCTCGCTCTCCCTTACCTGCCAACGAAAAGAAGGCGTCTCCCGAGCCTGCACGGGCACCTTCACCGCCGAGGATTGAAACTGCGAGCGCGAGCGACGGCGGCGGCGTGCTATATGGAGAGGACTGGCGTATCCTCAGGCTGGCACCGTTGATATTCAAGGTAGCCCTTGTCGTCGCCGTCCGTGGACTACGACTCACGCCGCGCCTCGTGTTCCCCAGCTTCAGCAACCGGTGGTCTGGACGCTCGCGCTGTGCGAAATCGCGGCCATCCTCTACGCAAACTTGGCAGTGGCGCTACCCGACGTGGGCTCGGCCGAGGCGGCGCCGAATTCGCCGCTGTCGAGGGTCGGGACGGCGCTGTGTCCATCGCCGGCGACCGCGAACGGCATGGCAGACATCCGAATCACGACGTTGTACGCGATTGGATTCGTGCTTTCCACGTTCGGCGGCGCACTCAGGTACGTGTCTGCTTCTGCCCGCCACACCGCTCGACCGGCCCGCGCTCGACTCCCGGCGGGGTTCGCTTCAGGCTCCGGATCCCCCACTGACCCGCGATCGTGGACGCTCAGGTTGCTCTGCTACCGCTACCTGGGCCATCTCTTCACGTTCAGTCTGTGGAAAGCGCAGGACCACGTCTTAGTCCAGAGTGCGTTCTCTCTCTCCCTTCGTCCTCGCCCTCGTCTATGTCCGCCCTTCCGCAATATACCACTGCCGTACATCGTTGCTTGGGCGCCTTCTATCTTGCCGACTGATCCTGTTCCCTTATCCAGCGGGCCCATATGCCGTCGTCCGCCACCCATCATACACGGGATCGATGCTCCTCAATTCCGGACTCACCCTCAGCTTCTTCATGGCCAATAGCGGCAGTTGGGCCGTGGCATGCGGTGTGTTTGGTCGTGGTGATGGTGACGCCTTGCTGCCTATCGCACGCCCGTCAGCCGATCTGATAGTTCTCTTTGCCTAGGCCTGCTCCCGGCCTCTCCTCCCATCATGCTGTTCGTTGCGATGTACTGGGGTTACTATGTCCTCGTCGGAATCACTCGCGCACGTGCCGAAGGTATGCTTCACACGTTTACCAGGCCCTCGCAAGCAGGAGCTCAGCTCTCTTGCAGATGCCGAGCTCAAGCGCACGTTCGGCGCTCACTGGGACGCGTACGCCTCCCGCACAATAAATTGGTTCTTCCCGGGCATCTGGTGATGTACAAGCACCTTCTACAGAATCGGAGCGCCGGCTCGAGCGATCCGCGATTGGCGACCGCTGTTGTGGTTGTAAGAATACCAACGTATGTACATATTTGACATGGGATGGATATGACATCTATATTGCTGCCGAGGCTATGTATGGATGCCGTGGGTTGCGAAGCTGCGAGTCCTATCCGCAACGATTGAATAAGATCCGATCGTGAAACCCTGAAAGCTCTGCCGGTGCGCTGCCGACGTCGCTGGAAGGGTTGTATTCTGCGAGAAGCGGATTCAAGCACCGTACTTATGTGCTCGTCACAAAGCTGCCTAACATGGTGCATTCAGCGGCATTTGGTTGATGAGATGAAGAACGATGAAAGAAGAGAAGCCCGATACATTCACACCGAACTATGCCTCACCAGGATCGCAACAAATAGCTGAAAGCATTTGCTCAATGGCGCACATGACTTCCGCTCCAGCTTCAGCGTAAGCTCGTTCGCAAGCGGACGTATGCTCCCACATCTGTGCAGAAGGCGAAACATCCAAAGCGGAATCAAGCTTATGGATGCCCACGAGAGGTTTCCCAAGCACGCTTAAGGCCTCAAATTACAGGACGCGGAGCGGTATGACACATCATTGCACACCGATTTGACCACGATATTTCAGGATTAGTACTTAGATAACGTTGCAACCGATGACCCCCGCCTTGCGCCTGAGCAAGTAACATCAGTACGCTAACAGTGTGCCATGAAGATGTCGACTTACTTCATACGAAGTTATGCTATCACAGAACGAGTCGGTATGCAATACCGAGACACAAGGCTGGATGTTCGCGGTCTCCGGATGTTGACTGTATCAGGTATCATAGCTTTCAACCGCGGACTTGAGACACCATTTGATAGCTTCGCTTTTACACGATCGGAAACCGTGCAGTTTCATCGCTACGATTATCTCCGCGTTACTGAGATAATTGGAGACGTGAAACGTCGCTATAGACATCGTAGACTAGTTCATAATCAGCTATGGGTTCGATGTGCAGACGAGACGCCGAACGAGGAACATACGAGTCGCCACGATGCCAGTACCTAGCAGCGACTCAGCACGCTCTTCATGTGCTTACGCGGACTGCGGAACGCCGAATCACAAATTCATGACAGCGAGTACACCCCCGCAATCCGGAGCCGGATTCCTGTAGTTCGTCGCCAATTCTAGGAGGATGTCGCGGGGAGACGAACGAGAGGTTACTCTCTCGGCATCTGCCGACTTCGCCGGTACGTGCCGTAATTCCTCGTAACTCCCATATCATGATGCTTCAGAGTCCTGCAATGAGTCGACAGTCTATCATCTTCACTACCAACCATTGGGCTTGGATTCGAGCTCTTCCGCTCGCTTACCGATGGAGGCACCCCGCGGCACTCCTGGATGCGTGTTCTCTCGCTTCCTCACCGTCTGGACTGCATCTGCCTCGACTCCGACACGCCCACACCACACCGAGTCAGCGTGTATTCGCCTCGGATCCGGAGTCACAAGCGGCGGAGACGAGGCAAATAACGACCTCCCTCTTGCTACGGCGGTTTGCTCATCGCAAAGGGCGGGGACGTCGACACTGTTCTGTCAATTTGATCCAACCCATTCAGGTTCAGTTCGTCGAGCTTACGTTCTATGCATGTTTTTGCATTTCTATCTATCGCACACACGACAGACACGGAGAGCAGGGAGCCCGGCCTGTGTGACAACAATGGGGTCACAGCCGCTTAAGAGGAGGGGTCACGCTCACCACCGCGGTTGATCTTTAGCTACATCCTCGCGCAACAGGTTTCGACACGAAAGCTATTAGTCCGCGTATACTCGCACTCTCAAATACCACAACGCAACAACGCAAAAATGTCAGCAGCAGAGCCCCAGAGATCCCTCACTCCTGCCGAGGTCAATAAGATCAAGCACTGCGCCGAGGCCATCCGAATTGGACAAGACTTGTTTTCATGTGGCGGCGTCTTGACCGGCAAGGATGTTGACTTCGACCAGCTCTACCTGAAGTACACAGACTCGTTCCAGCCAGACGAATCGTTCACGTATGTCCGCGTCGTTGATGAAAGTGTGTGTGGCGCTGAAAGTGGATGTGGCGTTCCTGGAATATAGGACGCGACCGGTGCCCCTTACCGAGGAAATCATCGGGAAACTAGCCCGTGCTGGTAATATAGCCCCGTTCGGCAAAGGCTCAGAGACAGTGGTGGACGAGTCGTACCGTCTGGCGCGAGCGATCGCCGTGAGATCATGATCACCTTGCCCGCCATCTGAACGGTGCTCACTCGTACTCGAACAGATCCCCGACTTCGCTCTTGTGCCGGATCCAGCCTTGGGTAGCGGACTGCTCACCACCATCGCTGCTCATCTGGGACTGAAATATCCTTTGACGGCACGGCTGGCCAAGCTTAATATATATCCCCAAGGAGGCTTTTTCAAGGCTCACCAGGAGTACGTTCCATCCACCAGGGCTTCATCTCGGAGGGGTTTAACTCATGCGTTGCGAGTACAGCACCGCTCGTGGAGAGAATCACTTGGGCACGATCACTCTATGTCTCCCGTCGTCTTTTACGGGCGGGGACCTCGTCGTTCGAAAGGGCGACAGAGAAATCGTCTATGACTGGTCTACGGACGTGTGGGGTGCTTCGGGGAACCCTCAGCTGCCTTGGGCCTTCCTGTACGCCGACGTCGAGCACGAGGTACTGCCTGTCACGTCGGGAATGAGAGTGACGGCGGCGTGGGACGTCTTCACGATCCCCGACAGCGGCACACAAATCTCTTACGACGTGCTCAACTCTGCCGCCGCCCGCACTCGCGACGCTTCCAAAGAGTACATCCGACA